GTTACCATTTCATTTTCTTGCTAGTTATTACCTGTTTGGAAAAATACAGTTTTTGATGAAATGCCCAAATCCTCATGCAGCATCCATTGGGCCGAGGCGTTCGTTATGAATAGTTCGCCCGCACCAATATGGCTGCACGGCTGATGTATTGCGAATTCGGCAGATGGTCATGACTTAAGGCACAGATAAAGATCGCCGCCCAATCGCTGAATATGGATGCCAACTGTGCCGAAGTGCTGCCGCAGGTGGTCGTTATGTTACGCCAGCTCGGCTCGGCGATCGTGGATGAATAGCTGCCCTGAATAGAGAGCTCACTGGCGCTATTTGCCCTTCATTGACCGAGTCTCCGAGGTCAGGAGGGTGGGGTCGTCGGCATTCGTGATCGAAACTGCAGTGCGCGCGTTTTCGTACGACGTTATCATCGTGTAGTTGGTCACATTCGTCGCATTGCGACCAAAAGACCGTGTCTGAAGTGCGCCGCTTTTGTCTCGGTTAGCAGGCTCCAGCGCCTGGGTAGGATGCGTTTCATGACTGCGATTTTCACCTCCGTGCGCCACGCGGCTTACCCGTAACCTTGCGCTGGTCGATGGCCTAAATGCGTTCCCCCGCTCTGCCGTATGGGCGTCTATGGCCGCTGGAGTCGGCTCGCCCTCAGACGCCAGTAAACAGCAACCATCCTGCCGGGTCCTGCTCTGGGCACGGCAATCTAAGTAATGACAGGAAGCAGATGGCTTTAGTGCCCCGCTCCAAGCAGCTTTCTTCGTTTCACCGTAATGGCCGCTGCACGGTCCGGGCGACCATGGCGGCGCGGAGGCGGCGGCGGGTGCCGCGGCCGGGCGGCACCGCGGCGTGAGCCGATCCCGGGTGGTCACCCTGCATGACGTGCCAGTCATGCCGCGTGACGGCAGACGGGAAGCGGCGCCACCACCGACCGCCCATGCGTGTTCCGTTGGTTAGGTGCTGCTGATGATGATTGGTGAGCCGTCTAGGTGTGTGTCTTGCATTTGGTATGGCGCGGCGTCGCGTTTGCTCTGTGTTCGTAGGCTGCTTTTCGGCCCGCGTGATTTGGAATGGGAAGTCGGGCTGGTGACGCGTGATATTTGGTTCCTCTCTGGTCATTGTCCGCATGCTGCTCCGCGTCCCGCCGCTGTCGTACGGTGTGATCCTGGAGCCGGTCCTGCCGTGTGTGTCTCCCGGCCACCCGCGGCAGTCGGCTGTCCAGCTGGCCGGTGCGGTCGGTCGGTCTGGCTCGGCGCGCCGAGGCCCGGAGACGTGCCTGCCCTCCAGCCGGGGCCGACGTCCCGGAACGCGAGGCAGCACCAGCCGCTGTCGTCACGACCCGGCCGGCCGCGCCGCCGCTGCACGCCAGAGGTCACGGCCGCCAGGTCGGGGCCTCCGCTGCCGAGCCAGGGAGACAGGGTCGCACTGGAGCAGGTCCCCCGAACGTGGGCCAGACCAGCTTCGGGTCATGTGGTGTTGTGTTGGGTCATGTCCGCCGCCACTTGACCTTGAGCGTGGGATATGGTCATGGATATAACGATGTTAAGAAATGCTAACGACGTTCGTTTGTTGGCACATGTTGCGTCTTTCGTCTCACCGCCGACAGCAACACGGCAGCTGGCCGATGTGTTCCGAGCGGCCGCCTCGCGTTGCTGGCGAGCGGCTGTCACCGGCCCTCGCCCGCTGCTCTATAACGGGCCGGTCTGCGCGCCCCTCGTCGCGCCCGTCGCAGCCCCCACATGGCCGCTGAGTCAGAGGCGAGCGGCGCCGACGGTCGGCACCGGCGCGGGCCGGCAGCCTCGCAGCGCTCCCCCCGGGCACGCGGAAGGCTTTGGCCCCGCTGTTTATTTACGGCGAGCGGCGCGGCGTGCGCTGTTGGGGCAGGACCGGCGCCGGTCGCCGCTCTGTGGCCGCCGCCGCCGCCGCCGCCGCTGCCGCTGCCGCTGCCGCTGCCGGCACCGGCCTGCCGTTCAGGTGTTTTCGCCGCCGCCCCTGTTTGCCGGCCGGTGGCCGGAGCGCCTGTTTTCTGGCCGCCGCGCCGCGCCGCGCCGCTGCTGTCAGCTCGCTTGTTTGGCGGCTGTTGGCCTTGGCTGCGTGCCGCTGCCAGCCGCGCGGCGTGCTAAGCCGGGCCGGCGCAACTGCTGCCGATGTGTCAGCGAGCAAGGTCACCCATGACGTCTGGTGCTGCCCCCTGTCCGCTTTCCCTCGGCGCCGCGACCCTCTCCCCGCGGCGGCGGCGTCCTCGCTACCGCTCCCGCCCTCTCTCCGCCCTCTCTCCGCCCGTTCTGGCGGGCGCGACCCGATGAAGAGACATCGGGGGGGGGGGGGGGGGCGGGTCAGTGGTCGTTTTTGGCGGGCAGACGGCCGTCGGCGCTGCTGACCTTTGCTGTGCGCCCCGGCACGGCCGTCCGCCCGCTTTGTCCCGTACGTGATCGCCGGGGCCGAGAGTGGCGCACAAAAAGACGGCGGCGCGCGTGGCCGGCGACCCTGCCGGCCGTGGCAACGATGCAGCGGCCGACAGCGGCTCCCCGGCAGAGCGCAGCGCTCCATATTGATTAATGCAGCTACAAAAGGGATACCGATCGGGATGGTGGTGCTGTTTTCCGCGTTGGCTTGTCAGGTGTTTTCGCGCGCGGCCCACCTCTGTGGATGTCGGTAAAAGCTGTATTTTTGTGAATGAGGCACACCGATTTAAGTGTGCCCTCTCTTGTCTCCCGTTGCTTTTGAATCGCTTCCTTTCTAGCGTAGCAGGCCGTGGGCCAACTCGGGGTACTTCCCATGTGGTTTATGGGGTCAGCCTCTGCGTGCTTGAGTTTCAGCCTAGTGTCTGATAAGGGAGAGAACGGTTGGGGTAGACGCAGGAAGCATATTTCTTTTTTTGCATTTCTTTCGCGTGTTTTTCATTCGAACCTTCCTGATTTTCAAACAGATGTCAACGTGAACGGCTGCAATGCGGACAGGCGAGTCGCGGTCTGTTCCCCACCTAGGCCACCAGATCCGGGCTCGGCTCAGCCCAGATGGCACCTGAGGTCAACCCCCACATTCCGCGTCTCCCCTCAATCTCGGCGCCTGTGCTGATATCAGGTCGCTGCCCAGTCGGCGGCGGCGGCGCGGCGGCGTGCCGGCCAGGCGGCCACCTCTCGCGGTGCGGACCCACCGGCCGCTCCGCCGGCCCATGTCAATCGAGGCCCCTCCTCCGCGCGCCGCCGCCCTGCCGCGCAGCCGCCGCCGCCGCCGCCGCAGTATGTTGAACTTTGAGTTGCTCGACCTTGAGCGGGCGGCAACGGCGAGGCGGCGGCGCGCGCGCCGCTCCCCTGGCGGCGGCGGCGGCGTGACGGGACGGCGCCTCCCCCGCCGCTCTGCCTCTCTCCCCCCGCTCTCTCCGTGCACGGGCGGCGGCGGCGGCGGCCGGCGTCCTGCTGCGCCGGCCGGGCGGCCAAGCATGGGCCGCCCGGCGGCGGCAGAGAAAGAAAAAACGGCCGGCAGGAAATTCCGCAGGTACCCGGCTGGGCGGGGGGCGACCTTATGACACGCTGTTTTTGTCGCTAGCTGCTGTGTGCGGCGGAACGGGGCCCGGCCGACCGGCCGACCGGCGAGGCGCTCGGGCCACGAGCCGCTCTGGATCACCTCCGCTTGCTCCTCACACACGCGGGCGGCACTCCCTGTGTTTGAGTAGCTCGCCTGCGATGTTTGTCCAGCTGGGATGGGTGGTGTGGTTAGGAGTTTACTTTCTCGCCGCTCCTCGCGCCCCTGGCATAGCTTAGTTGCAGCTTCATCGGTACGGCAAAGCGTCAGCGGCTTCCAAAGGCTTGATTTGTGTCACAAAAAAGCGAAAAAGCTGATGTCCTGACCGCGATGAGAACGTGATGACGAAGCGTGTTTTTTGAACTCTGTACGCGCGTGGAGGCGGGCTAACAGACGGCGTTTTTGTCCGATAAGTGCAGGAAATGCATCCTCCATGACATTGTCTCGACCTCAGGGTGCCCGAGGTGGACCTGGCCTCTCGCACCCGCGGCTGACCCATGTCCTGCTGATGCTCCCCAAAACGCGAGTTCGTTCGCGGCCTTCGGACTCCATGCCAACGTCGAATCAACGATTCTCTGCCACCGTTTGTTTGGACGGAGTGGTGGCTTGAACCGCGGTCCGACCACGTGGGGCGGCATCTGGCGACCTTGCCGAGCCGCTGCCGGCGCGTACCCCGTGCGCCGCCGCCGCCGCTGACCGGCGGGTCGTGAGAGGGAGGCGAGGGGAGCGGCTGTTTTTTTGCCGCTGCACTGCTGGCGCGGCAGGAGCCATTGTCTGCGGCCGAGCCGGGTCTGGCTCGGTGTGGTCGCACCGGTCCCGGTCCCGTTAACGGCGCCGCCGCTGACCGCCGCCAGAGGCCGTGCCGGCCGGCTACAGGGGGCGCCGCTCGCCTCTCGCGCAGGCCGCGGCCCGCCGCCGGCCGGTGGCGCCGACACGGATTCTCCGGCTGGCTTGCGTTGCAGTCATGTGTATGCATCAAAATACCGTGGCATGGAGATGGCATCAGTGCGGGAATACGGAGCAGGAACTATTACTAATCCGTGGCACAGTCTGTCATTGTCTACCTGTCACAGTTATTGCTGTGTTGTTGGAGGATACAACACCCTTGGTGCTTCACAGCGCTTATATTACAAAAAGGCCCTCGATTTAGTGAGCTTTTGCTCTCGTCAACGCAGTTACGACGTAGGGAACACGAACGCGAGCCATCTTTTATGCCACTGTACAAAATGCTCTTCGTTCCTTCAAAGCGCAATATCCGCGAGCTCACTAACAGCGCTGAGCGGATCGGCTCACTACCAGCTGCCGCTCTGTGCCACATTCACGACACATCGATCCGCCCCTACGAATGCTTTGCTGTGTGACATGTATCCATTCCTCCCCCCCCCCCCCCCCGCTCCTTCCCTCGGCGTCTCTGTTACCAGCACTGTCTGTCTGTTGGCGCCGCCGGGCCTGACGGTGTGCTCCTCGCCCGACAGGCTACATGAACTGGCAGCTGGGCGGCGACGGAGTGGAGGTGCCGTACGTGCCAGCCACAGAAGCCGGCGGACCGCAAGGTACTGTCCCCACACCTGCCGCGCACTCCCACCACCTGTACGTGCGCGGGCGTGTGTGTACGTGTGTTTATACGCAGGTGGTACATTCTTTTACCCTCGCCCCCGACTCCGGGCTGGAGAAAAGGGAGAGGGAGAGGGACTCGTGTGAATTGCTCCGCCCTGTTTTCTGTCTCTTATTGGGAGGCAGCCTGGTCTCTCCAAGAATGGCCATGGCTGGGTCGGAGAGTGATTGGTCGGGCGTGCCTCTGTGAGTGCTTGTGTTCGGGGATGGGGACGTGAGAGCGAAAGGGGCCTGCTCATGCGGTAGATGAACGGCGAGTGGGGAAAGGAGAGGAAGCGGAATAGTGGCAAGTAATGCAGAGATAGCGAGAGTGTCCGTTTCGGGACGGCGCACCGGTTTCGACAGTAACACTCCTCGCTCCGTCCCTTGCGCCGTAGAAATCAGGTGATTTAGCTGGTCGTATGACGGGGTAGGAGGGGGGCATTATTACTGTGACCGTGAATATAGCCATTTGCGAGGGGGCGGTTGCCATGACGACGGGCCCCAAAGCAGGCAGTTAACTGGTCAGGAGCCCGCGGCATAACGGGACGTGCCTTGAGGATGACTGAGCAACAATGATAATCAGCCTTGGAAACCGGGAACAATGCGTGGTGCAGCCCTTCCTGCTTTATAAAGTGCGTTAGCTGCCACGGCTGTGAGGACGATAAACAGCTGTGTCGGGTTTGTTGGCGACGCTGCGTTGCCCGGGGAGGCGACGGTTGGGGATTTGTCTGATTTTGCGGCGACGGGTGGCTGATGGATTACTGATCAGTCTCGATAGTCTGAATGACCGGCCGGGGTGGAGATGTGACTGACGATTTCGAGATTCGGCTGGTGCGTGCTCCTCTTCATGTTACTTGCAAAAGATGCCGCCGCAGCTGGTGTGTTACTGGTCAAGCGACCTTTACTGGTTGGAGCCGCCGGCACGGCCTGAAGCGGAGGAAAGGATTTTTCGCCCACCCTTAATAAGAACAAGCCGCCTAAATGCCTGGGCTCGAGCTGCTGGATGAAAAGAATGGTGTCTGGCTCGTTCTTTAAACTATCCCTTCAGCACGTTTCCTCGTAATGCAAATGATATTGTAAAAAATGGCCTGTAGACAGGTTGTGTTGCTGTTTTTGGCAATGCAAACATTTTGCAAATCGGCCCCAGTTAAAGTTGTTGGACGACATACGTTTGGATTTACACTCGCAGCGTAATGTCAGATTGCATCCCACGACAGTAGCGTGCGGATAGCAAAACCAACACTGAAAATGAACTAAAAACATCGACTACCGAAAGCATTGTAATGGCTAAGAGTGGCGACGGGTATTCCGCCACGTTCTCGCACCTGTCTCGGCCAGGGAACGTGGGCGGCGACGCTGCATGCCACTACTGCGTGTGTGCTGAGGTGGACGCGACTAACGCGGTGCGTGAGAGTGCGGATGAGTGCTGCTGGCGGCGCTGTGTCGGCCGTGTCGAGTGCTGGACGCTGTGGTGGCGGGCGGCAGCCGAGCGCCGCTGGCGCCGACCCATCTGCTGGCTGTGGCGTTCGCGTGTTCCCCTCCCGGCGGGGTGGCCCTGCCCGGCGCGGCTGGTCGCCGAACAGTGCCTCCGCACGGCGCACCGCCCCCGACCTGCACACCCCCTCACTGGCGGCGGCGGCGGCAGCGGCGGCTCGCGTGCGGTCGCTGCGTGCCGGCACTGCTCTGTCCGTCGCCCGCACGGCATCGATTCGACTCCCGGAAGAGCGGCCGGCCGGCCGGCCGTGCACGCCACCCGCCGGCTTCGGCGCCACCGACACAGAGCGGAGCAAGCCCCGCCGGCGCAGAGAAGACACGAGAGGAGCGTGCGCGGCACCATCCCGTGGCATCCTCCGCCCCGTCCCGCGCCCGCCGGCCGCGCGCCCCGTAGAGTGGAGCATGCTGGACTGCTGGCCCGGCTGCGCGCGTCCCGCTTAGTCAGTCGCATGAGCGCCGCAGGCCGCGGCCCCGCTCCCCGCCGCCTCCGCATGCTCCCACTCCTGATTTGCCTCCGGGCGCTGTCCGTGGTACCCGAGTTGTCGTAGTTGTGTGCGCTGGCCGGTTTTGTTCGGACGAGAGAGCCGTCCGGTTTGTGTTGGCTGCCGGTCCGGTGGCCGTCCGGTCTTCGCCGGACCGCCGGACCGCCGGACCGCCGGACTGCCGGACCGGTGCCTGTAGAGCCGTAGCTCCAGCGCCGCCGCCGCCAGTGTGTTTTGTTTCGCCGGGCTGCGACTGTACGTTCTGATTTGTTTTTCCTTTCGCCGCTTGCGATCCGCTTACGTTTGTCCTCTCTCGGGTGTTGCAGATGCGTTCCTGCACCGTGCGCTCAACGTGCGCTTCCAGCAGCTGCTGCAGCAGCAGCGCTACGACCAGCTGCTGGCGCACGCGCCGCCCCCGCCCCCCGGCCCGCTAGGCCTGCCCCTGCTGCTGCGGCGCGAGTCGCCCACCTCGCCGTGCAAGCAGTACGCGTGCGAGAAGTGCGGCCGCCAGTACGCCTCGAGCGGTAACCTGAAGCGGCACGTGAAGTACGAGTGCGGCGTCGAGCCGCAGTTCCAGTGCCCCGTCTGCAAGAAGAAGTTCCAGCACCGGCACTCGGTCAAGATCCACGTGGTGTCCACGCACAAGTCGGAGAACCCCGAGCTGATCAAGGACTATCTGATGTAACGTGCGCGCGCGCGCGCGCGCGCGGCCGCCGCCGAGGTTGACACGGGTCGGAAGCTGGGCCTGCACGGGTGTGGGGTGGAGCGCGGGACTGCTGTGATAGGCACCCGCCGACTCCGCCAGCTCCCCCTGGCGGGGACGGACGTCAGCTCAGGGCGCCATGTGGTTCCTGGCCCCAGCGGGGGCGCTCTTCAGCTCAGGGAATATGCAAGTACATAGGCGGTAACAGGTAGTGCGGCGCCCGGAGCGCCGGCCGCCGCGCGTCGTCTCCCCGGTGAGATGCGGGCCTGTGTGTCTCCTCCGTCAGGCGGTTGTGGTTAGAATTCCGCAGCGGCGATGAACTTGTGGCGGGGCGTTCGCGGGCGCTGATCGAATATTGCCCGTCGCCTTTCGAGCCGAACATCATGTGTGACCAAATTATTCGGAAAAAGTGCCTGCGGTGGCTTCCAGTCCACTGCCCCGTTGCCGTTCTTTGGAGCACGTGCGTTCAAAAGTCACCCCATATCTTGCTGGCGGCACCGGGGCCGCCGTGACGCCCTGCTTGTCTCGTGGCTAGTGGGTTGGCGTCTGGTCCAGACCGCGAAGCGACTTGCCGGCTCTGGGGCAGGTGTGTTCAGACTCACTCGCCACTTTTTTGCGGCGACGTGGTTTTAGTGCAAAGCCCCAGCTTTGCTCGTGGTGCCAGTGCCCCCGACGACGACCCGGTTTTGGGGTCAACGCGCGGCCAAGATCATCTCAGGGACGGTCTGCCTGGACGCGTGGTGACACAAGCGACATGCATGAACCATCAGGAATTTTAATTGCATTTATTTTACTCTCGGTAGGATTCGGTAGCGATGTTCTTGTGCGGGGATCGCAGTGAACAAGACAGTTGTGTTCGCGAGAACGATGCTAGGGTAAGCCTCGCACGCCGGCTGGCGCCTCGGCGTCATTTGTGCGTTACGCGCGCGCGTGTGTGTGTGTATGTGTGTGTGCGGTGTGTGAGGCCGGCGGCGTCGGCGGGGGCTCCTGGACGGACGCGGCCTGCCGTCGTCGGCGGGCGCGTCGGGTCGCCACCGACTCGGGCGCGCCTCGTCTCAGGAGTGCCGTCGGCCGCCGCCGACTGCCGGCGGCCGCCAACCGTCTCAGGGAACGGCACGTGTCCGATCGGGTCTAACGCCTCAGGGAAGTCGGCCACTGCCGACTCGTTATCTCTCAGGGATGTAGGCGATTGCGTCGCGCCGTGCTCGACTTGAAGAGGTCTCGGATGTAATTACTGTCGCGGAATCGGCCCGTCGCTGCCGTCCGCCCCCCAGAAGGGCGCTGTTGTTGCCAGGGGCTAGTTTCAAGAAGCGAAAACGACTTAACGAAAACAAATGTGATCTGCCAACTTCAAAATTCTGCCGTGGAACCGTGCAGGCTGGATGGAGGTCACCTTTACTTAGGTTGGCTCGTTCTTCGTGAATTGGAGGTGCCACTGAAACTGGGTGGGGTGGTTCATGTGCGCCCGTATGAAGTGGCCTGAAATTCGTTGTTTGGTGCTTTTTGGTGGTTTCGTTCTTTGAGACTAGTCCCGGGCCTCGATGAACCCGCTCTCTGACACCGGAGGTCCCTTGACCTGGGCAGCAGCGCACTCCCAGTACAAAGACCTACTTGCCTGGCTGGCAGGTACAATGAGCGGCCTTCGGATGGCGTAGCGTAGCAACACAACTCAGGAAACGCTTGGTGCGGACGCGGCGCGCGGGCAAACGAAGGCCGCTTACGTTGAGTGGTGGCCGACTCCACGCCTCCATCGCGTGCTGTTGTTTTATTAGTACTGGTACTTGGGTGCAAACACGATTGACGCGTTGGTAATTTTACGTCGGTTACTGTTGGACGAGTAATAGTATACCTGTGCCGTTGAAGCGTGCGCGAGTGGCCTAGTTAGTGGGGCAACTGGCGCCAGTGCCTGCGGGTCGGGTCCGGTCGGGCGTGACCAGGCCGGCGGCCGCCTGGCGCCCTCAGCGCGCCGCGCTGTTTTGTAGCAGATAGCTCGGCAGCCGACCGGCCGCCGTGTCTAGTGTGTATACTCGCCGACTGTCCAAATCAAAAGGTGCCTGCCTGCCATGATCGCGTTGTGAGGGGGAGGGGGGCGGGCCGCCCGCCTCGGCCGCCTTGCAAGCTTCAACGACGCGCCGCGCGCAGTCTCGCGCGTTTGTATTTTGTGTACGTGCCGTCGCCGGGAGGGCGCGGGCTGGGCGTGTCCCGGTCCCGCGTCGACGCCGCCGCACCCGCGCCCTCCCCGCCCGTCTGTATATGAGCCCTAGGTTGTGCTGTTCGTTTCCGGCGTGTCACTCGGACACGGCCGCTGTGGCGTGGCTCGGGGACTGTTGCTGGGGCTCCGGTCGTCGCGGCGGGCCGCGGTCTTGCTTGTTCTCCGATGCGTTCGGTCCCGCGCAAAAAGTGTGGTAAAAAATGGCGCCAGCGCGCCGCCGTGGAAGGCGCCGCCTCTTTCAGCACCATCTGGAATCGCCTAACAGAAACGACTTGTTGAAACTGTCTTAGTCTTCCATTAGAAAGGTGATGGGATGAGGTGTTGAGCGAGGAATCATGTAACATAGAGATACAGAATAAAAGTCCAATCCCTGCCGGGAGTGTTTTCTTCCGGCAGACGCGATGGCTCCTGTGACTCGGTGTGGCTGGAGCCTGGCCCTGTGCCCAGCAGCTGTGCGGTGTTGCCTAGCACGACAGGCGTGGGTGGCATTGTCTGCGGGTGTTGCGGAGCGTGGGTGGTGTTTGCAGGTGTCGCAGGCGGTTAGTAGCTACGGCAGGAAACTGGGAACGCACCACCTCGAATGTCGTCGTTCTGTGGTATTTGGATTGCATTAGATCCGATTTGGGGAGGTAAGCGTTTATCAAGCCTTGAAATGCTGACCCTGACAAGAGCCACAAGATCTGCCAGCCAACTCCTCCCCCACTGACCCTCAGAGACTAACCCAACAATGGAAGGCATCGCGAGCGGGGTGCGCTGCGGCCGTGTCGGCGACGGCCCGCCTGCTCGTGTGTAACTACTCCGCGCGCCCCCGACAGGACCCCGCCGAGTCAACGCTGGGCGCACGCCTCTTCACCGCTGCCGTTGCCGGTGTATTGCAGACAAGTTCCTGTCCACGCTGCGACATTTCCTGTCGGGGGAGGGCGCGACGACGGGCGGCGGCAGTGGCGGCGGCGGCGGCGGCAACGGCGGAGGCGGCGGCAGCGGTACCTCCCCGCCGCAGTGCCAGCGCTGCGGCCGGCTCTACAGCACTCGCGGCAACCTGCGGCGCCATCGCGAGTACGAGTGCGGCGTAGAGCCGCGCTTCGCGTGCGCCGGCTGCGGCCGTAAGTTCACTCACAAGCACCACATGTCCAGCCACGTGCACTCGGGACGTTGCAGCGGTGCCGCCTGGAGCCAGGGCCATAAGCCCGGCTGGGGCAGCGCCGCCGAGACCAGTGGCGCCACCTAGGTCAACGGCCGCACCGACCGTGCTGTCATCTGAAGCGAGCGTCGTGGCGGCGGGCTGTAGTGAGTTCGCTGGCGACGTGTAGAGCGAGCATTCCAAGGCGACGCCGGAGGCGGTCCAGGGCCGGCGGACCGCGCTCGCCTGGCGCAGAATTGTGTTCGATGAAATCGTACGAGAACTAGCTGCTTCCAGGATTAGTGCTGCTCGAGCATCGCTGGTAGTTTTCTGCAGCGTGCGTAGCCGGCGTTTCCGTTTCTTCCAGTGGCCGTGTGTACAAATGAAGCGGTGGCAATAGTTTTCTAGAGCCGAGTCGTGGTAGCTGTGTTGTGCTAGTCTGTGTGCTAGCAGCCTCGCCCGTCTAACGGAACCCAGTAGAATCAAAACACAGAAGTCTGTGCATGTGGTGTCTGTGATAAAACTGTGCAAAGCCGCTTGTTGTGACGAATAAAGTGGGCGGCTGAACAACAGCTTTTTCAACTTTTTCAACAGCTTTTCAGCTTTTTTCAACCGCTTTTCAACAACAGTAACAGCAGCAGCAGACCTTCAGACGCCGCCACTTACGGTTCCCCCTTGTATTGGTAAACCGGGTCACCTGGCAGGCATTTAAGCATCGTCGCAATAACACCGTGTCCAGAATGCTGAATGCGTGCTCAGGGGAAGGGGGGGGGGGGAGCGCACCAACAGTCAACATGGTGACTTGCGCTCCTGTGGTCACATGACAACGATATGGAACGTCAGTGTGTGCACACGACCTATTTAGAAACGATGCCGTGGCGACAAACAAACAGCAAAACGGACACTGAATGTTGCAAACAAAGTTATGTTACACGCCTACCTATTTCACATGTCGCATAGGCATACCATGAGTGCGCGACACTCACCACTTGTTATTTCATTCACTCACATCTCTCATTCATTTCACATGTCGCCTACAATGAGTGCGCGACACGAATGACACCCGGTGAGCGAGGAAACACTGGCAAATCACAACTCACATCCCCCGATATGGGCTTTTTACCGGTGCAGACTGTTGAGCCAATAAAAGAACATATCCGAATCAGCCGCTATTAACAGACCTGTACACAACCACTTGTCACAGCTCCAACCACACCCATCAGCACTGGACACAGCCCTCTCCCCCCCCCCAACTGCAGACACATAACACAGCGATACAGGAGCGCTGGCCCGCTGTCGATCAGATGTAACTGCTCCCGACATCCATGCTGTACGATGGCGGCGTGTCACGACTACAGATCGGTGGACGGCATTCGGTTTCGGACGACAGCGGCGTACTTTCTCTGTATATATCGACGAACTCTGAAATGTCGAATGCGGCTGTTGGGACAAGGGTAATGAGCTTTCATGCCCATCCCCCTGCAAACGCTAGACGGTAACCGGTAGTGAGAAAGAAACAAGGGAAACAAGATCGTCTTAAACCTCCTTTGACTTTCACAGTGTGTTTTCGGATAACGAACGTCTTTAGTTAATCTAAATATGCGAACAGTTATTGCGGTTTTTGAGTGTATCTGCTTTACGCTCACACCGATCCCAAACGCATGGTTGTGGGCGTCAAGAGACGGAGACCTGTTGTGGTTAATTTATGCACGATTTACAGTACTGCGTAGGGTATGCACCATATACAATATACAGATTTACAGAATTGTGCAAAGTTGAACGGAAGGTTCCACGTTTGAAGATATTGAAACAAGCATCATATATGAACAAAGCTCTCTTAAAAGTCTTGGTATACTTTTAAGTGGAAAAGACTGCTCTAAACGACGCAATTATTTCATCTGGAAATATGCTTATCGATGTGGTATAGTTTGATCGCGTCGAAGACCCCCTGCATCACGTTGAGATGACGGCAAACTAGACGTTCGAAATTGTCACCCTAGCACTCACACGGAGTACTTCAACCCGCCGAGGAATAGCAGTGGCGGTGGTGGAAGAATTCGCTGAGCTAAACCTCGTTATGCGCTGTTGTTTAGTGCTCGTGGTGTTCTTGCATGTTATCCGTGGGTTCAACATGTTTACTTGTACTCACATGTTCGGTTATGGCGCTGTTCTTAAGTTATTCGATTACAAGTCAGATTTCTGTAATAACAAGCAGCCATGCCCACCTTCTTACATCATGTAGCACAACACGTGATCCATGATTAAGGATCACACCCCCTCATCCTCTTTCGTGATTCATCCCTCATCTCCACGACGCTCCGCTTGTCCGGGGTAGACTACATACGCCAGCCACGAGTGGGCTGAGAGATCTCTGGAGAGAGAGCCCGGCGCACACCCCTCAGAGGGGTCCCTGCGCGGACTTAGGCTCGGCGGTTGCCCCCCCCCCCTTGGTGCATGTAGTGCTACCTCACCGTTGCTCATTGTCCTTCATTCCATAGTCCTGAAATGATTATTGCTGATTGATAGGGTTGTAATTCAAATACCTAAACCGTATTTGAAACATGCACAACTTGCTCAACACTAAGACCTAATGGACGCCCACTATAATTGGAAATCGTGCTCAGGGACGCCAAAGCTGAACGGCTGGAAAATAATGTTCTGCTTTACCTTGAAAGCAGCGTAAACTAAGGGGTGGCAAGAATTGAATGGCATTAATGTGACTTCATGCGCGCCTGAATGGCCTTAAAACAGCCTGTACAAAATAATTTGCACACCTTTGCGGGCGTGAAGCTCAGAAGCTATAGGGTTTTAGGGTTTAGGAAGTTCAAGGCTGTAAACTGCATCGAATGGTCTTCAAAAGGAGTATTTCGGCCCAAAACCTCGTACAAATGTGAAACGCTCCCTTTACCCAAGATTTAACTCCCGTTAATGTTGATCCGCCGACTGAATTGGTTAAGTAAACTAAAGCTGATCTGTTCAACGTCTAAAGAAGCTTAGCTAAAGGTAGCTAAACCTAATCCATTAATCCGTTAATTTGTTCATTTTTCAGTATCTGACTTATGTTCTCAAAAAATGGAAATAGTTTAATTGTATCACTCGGCATCCAATCATTGCACGGTAATTTGTATGCGAAGCTAGGAGCGTGCGTACATTTCAAAATGGTAATATTGTCCTCAAAGTTTGTAGGCTAGAGCTAAAGATTCGCTGCAAATTGGTATTCGAATTTTATGGTGAGCAGATTGGGATTGGATTGACCTTCAACATTTGTTCGTCCCGGTGGCTCAGTTGGTTGAGCGCCTGTATTCCGACCCATCCACCCGTGGCGGGATGGGTTCGAGTCGGTTTGGGACGCTCACTATTTGCCTTTGGCAGGTATCGCCTGCGACCGGTGGCAGCGGTCGCGCTAAAGGTCAGTTGACGTCAGGGAGCAGGACGGACCGTGCCGAGCATTGCGGCATGTAAAGCTTTCGCCACTGAATTCTGCCGTTGCCTAGAATTGCGCGATCGAATTGCGCGATTGGAATTGCGGTGGGGGTCAGGGCTCACACAATAAGCACTGCTTAGTTTGAGCGCTGTTCCCAGAAATCCATCCGTTCAAAGGGTTCGGACCAAATTTAAAAAAAAAAACATGCGAATGGACTGAAACATATTCGGTCATGTCCAAAGCTCCGTAATAAAATTTCGAAACCCCAATGCCGTAGAATTACCACTTCTACACCGATTTCACCGTTTTTTGGCCGTGTTCAACGCTTCTGCCAATGGCAGGGGAGAGTGGGGCGAGTTGTGACATGTCCACGTAGCATCAGGGTGATTTATTCCAATATGTGCAATGGATGGCAGTCTTGAGTCACTTAGCCGACGTACAGCAGCTCCCTTTACCCTTCAGTGTACTCCTGGCCACATACGTGGACGCGCCTTGGGATGAGCGTAGCAAATATGTTTGTTGTACATCGTTGAAAATTACAGCGATCGGTGTGAATGTGTTGAAAGGCTTACAGCATAAATAGACCAAGCTGCCAGATAGAATTGTATTTCAAACTAACTTGGCATATTTGAGATACTTTGCAAGCAGACAATGACGTAAGCCAGACATGAATAGCTCGACACTCATGGTTATCTTGGCCTTGAGTAACACGTGACCAATGGGGTGGCAGTATTTGCGTTACGTTTCCATGACGTCATATTTTTCTGTGCGAGCCTGAAATAGACTAAACGAAATGGTGTGCGCATGTTTGAGGGCGCCTAGCCAGAAAGCCGGAATTTTTTTAGTAAGTCCTCAAAAGGCAGTGCTGTGAACCGCACTGAATGATCTTCAAAATGGTTATCTAAATAAAATTCCCTCGAAAATACCAATGTTAAACACTATCCTTCTATTAAACTCGCGCTGTCCACTACGCTCTTTCTCTGATACCAACGCTTGGTGCTTCCATCACTACGAACATGCGGCATTTCCGATAAGCTGTCGGCGCACCGGCTCTATTTCACGAGAGGAGCACCGGTGCGTGCAGGGTGGCCTGCGTGAGACGTACAAACAGCCTGCAGATGATGGGCCCCAGTGTTTCTTTGGGCTGCCGAGTTTTGGTTTCAGATCCCCAGCCATGGGAGCTGATTGGACTCCAAGATAGCCTCATCGGCGCGGTTGCGTGCATGAACACGCGCGTGGATCAATGTCCATCAAGCACATCTTTTCTGCGAACAACCACGGTCCCCGCGACCGTTCAAGCCCCAGCAGGCCACCGTTAGCACCGGCTGTAATGTCATGCGACCTCAGAAAGACGTTCGGTCACATGTCCATTAAACACGCATAACACTCAAGTCCGGCTGACGTACGGCAGCGGCCCGGACGCGGCGGCGCCCCTCGACTTGAAGTAGAAGCGCGGGTAGTCGGCCAGCAACCGCCGCACGTCCGGCTGATCCCTCGACTTACTTTAGGCAGAAGTGCGGGTAGTCGGCCAACAACCGCCGCACGTCCGGCTGGTTCCTCGACTTACTTGAAGTAGAAGTGCGGGTAGTCGGCCAGCAGCCGCCGCACGTCCGTCTGGTTGATGACCAGCACGTCGGTGGGATCGTCGGCCACCAGGTTGTGCGCGTACGGCATGGTGGGGAAGATGATCTGCAGGTCGCCGTAGATGGATCCCGAGTAGAGGAAGTACTCGGGGTCCGACGGCGAGGTGTCGTACACGAGCACGGAGCCGCGCCGGACGACGAACACCTTGTCGCCGATGTCCCCTCGCTTCGTGATGAAGTCTCCTGCCGGGGGAGAGCGTCGGTAACGGTCGTCTGTCGGCGCGCTGCGGTTCTGCAGCACTGGTTTTCCCGCAGAGCAGGAAAACTAAAGCAAATCACCTGCACCGAATGCTTCCAAACGTGATGTTAAGCGTCCAGTTCTCAGTGCGGAAATTGGCTGCATCGGACCGCGTGGCTGTGTGTCACCTTTGCTGCGAGGCTAGCCCCTCTCGGGGCCTGATGCGACCTGCGGCGTGTGGATGTTCTAGCGGGTCAGCCAGCGGGGTGAGCGCTCAGTACGGCCCATACGACTGGCAGGCGGATGATCGACACTGTCAGCCAATGTGCTGCATGATGGCGTCCAAACGGATCGAACCTTTCGTCTCGTCGAAACCATGGACAGCCAATGCGGTCATAAGTGTGTTGACGGTGACAATGTACCGGATTCGCAATCCGACCAGAGCATGTGAGTGAAAGGTAGATATCTGAATTATTCCGAGTCCGCATAATTATTTGTATTGTTCAGCCAAATTTACCGGGGAGTTGAGACTCGGATTTTGCGGACGTGGCCGTAATGAATGGTAAGACGCCTTTTGTTGAATGAGACAAACTGCGTGATCACAGACGTGGGTGTTATCGCCACACGGAAGGCAAGAAAGATTAGGCGAAAACACTCATGTACAGCCGGGAATCCATATAAATGGATCTTATCGGTGCGTTTGAAACGTGTCCGTCCTTCCCGAAAGTTCAGCAGGTGTAGAAAGTCCATATAATAAGACAGTCAGGCTTATGTCGCACCAGGCATGCACCCAAAACTTTTTTAATGTGGGCGCAAATGTTAATTTTCTCTGAACTAATACGAATTAGGACCGAATGCATGCAACCGTCTAGGATCAAACGTAAATAACTTGACCCAAGAAGGGGCATGTCCCCGGTCCAATTTTATTTCAGATCGCTGGGAAGTCCATGTCACCCAAAAGTTACTGGCTGATGTCTGATTTTTTGCCATCATTATGACATTCAGCGCATAAACTAGCGTCAGAAAAAGCCACGGACACTCATGGTAACCCTTGAAGGTCAAATATCGGGGACTTCAATACACTCCAAATGCACCGGCCCATTTCAGTTTTTTAGGCACCAGAACCGTTTTTAACGCATAAGCTGTCGTCCGGAAAAAGTGCTGACCTCCCTAGGCTCCCTAGGCTAGGGAGGTCCTCCCTCCCTAGGCTACATTTCAAGGTCAGACTCAATCCCAAATGACGGGGGCAGGGATGCCAATCTGTGCAAATTATTGGGAGGGCAAAGCACAGGTCCGATAACCTACCGCCTCCTCATTTTATTATCATCGGATTTAGCCCACCTCGTTTTGATGAAACGCAAGATATGTTTTTGAACTTGGTATAGGTTATAAAAAGTCTTGAATCTAAGCAGCGTGATGGTCACACAGAGCTGGATCCACGGAGCAGACACTGGAGGCGCGCGCCTCTTCTGATCGGCAGGCGAAGACGCCCCTCGCCACCTTAGGGCGCCGATGGCGCTCTTCTATGACGGTCATGGGAGGCGACACGCATTTGGTTGTGGGGGGAGGGGATAGGATAGGCCGCGAAGGAGTTAGGTCATCCCCGCATTCCAGAGCTGTTCACTTTGACCTCAGCAAACCATTGCGTGTCCTATGGCCCTAGGCGTGTTAAGATTATTGCATCGTTTGTCCGCCTTAGCTGTTACGATTTGTATTTGGTGATGGCAGCAACCACCACTTTTTGTTACGAGGGGAGGGAGGGTTTTAGTGTTGGCATGGTGCCTCGCTGTATACGAGAAACATGCATCTGCAAGGGGAGGCAAATACCCCGCTACATTAAGGGATCTATCTACTGGATTTTGGAGGCCGGACCATCGGGCCCAATCGCACATCCTACAACATTTACTTTTTTCCTTGACTTAAGTCAAAGCGCCCACGTTCATCCCCTGTAAAATAGTGCTGCTCTTTAAAGCCAAGATTTTCGGTGACATGCGAGTGGTGCGCAAAAAAGTTGGTCCCAATTTGACGCCGCAACACATTCATCAACTCTAGTTTTTGCCATGATATCAAGAGTGACATTTACCAATACTTGCAGCCAATTAAGAGTTATGTAAATTGTTCATTAGGTGCCTTTAAATGCACCGTGAAAACATTGATGAGGACTACTTTACTGCAATTATGGTTCAGAAAATGCTCGCGCTTTTAATGGGGCTTCCAAATGTCTAGCTATTATTAACACGCTCTCGGGTCGGGGATCAACTTGACCCCTTCCCGTTCTGAACATTTTCAAAAGCAATTTATGGCTGATACGGCGTAGCCGTTCTAGCGTTGGTGGTTGCACCACTATATACCGACATTAATACGTTGATTGTGGTCCCCAGAAGTACGAAATCAACCGAAATATTTTGCGTGATGTGGCGTTCGCGTCATTTGACCTCGAATGTGAACTTGAAAGTCACGTAGTATTGAACAATTTACGTCAGATTTAGTGTTTTCGTGTTATTCTCGTGGCGGCGTTCACCTAATAACGAGCAACCACGCATGCATGTGCGAGATAGCCAACGAAGTGCGGAGATGAGGTTAGCGCAAGGCTCCGATGAGATCGCGCTGTCGGCATGAGGGTCGCTGGCTGACCTGGCAGGAAGAACTGCTGGTGACACAGGTAGCTGAGACGGCGGATCAGCCGCTGCGGCGCCCGCTGGAATATGGTGAGCGAGCGCAGCTGGGCGCCGAAGGTGGTCATAAACACCTCCAACTGTGAAAAGGGTCGGCCGTCAACAACCAATGCTTTTGTTTAAGACACAGCGTGTGTCGCGAATATGGATGATAAATTATGATGCGCCTATGGCAAAGGACTACACAATATGCCGGAGATGTATCTTCAAAAAACCTCGTGGGGGGGGGGGGAATCGCATCGACCCCCTCCCGTATCAGGGCAAGGGTTAAAAGCCGGAAGCTGTCAGAAGTTGAAGTTGGGGCCGGAAGTCAAAGCCTAGGAGGTTGGGACTCCTAACCTCTGAAAGGTGAGAAATCCCGATATTGCCAAAAACTCTACGATGCTCACCATATTTGCGGCGGTGACGGGACCCCAAGACATTCCAAGTCCACGACCTGGTGCCAAAATGTGCGGTCAAGGGGATCTGAAATGGTTGTAAACCTCCGGAGCAGTCGGGATGATGGATCTTATCTCGAACTGGCTCATTCATTGGTGAATTTATGATAAGTCTTTTCGAAACCTGCCAGTTTGGTCGGTACGATGCTGACCGTTAGAGTTTCTTCCACTGACAATATCTAGGGGTACTTGACCATATCGGACTCTAGGTCGTAAAATGTCCTACACGAACGTCAAACCACCGGAAAGTCATTCTTTCCGCAAAAAGCAACACTGAAGTGATGCATGAATGTGGGGTGGCTCAAAACTCTCTGTTTAAGAGATGACCAGCAAAGAGTTGTTCCCATTCCTTGTTTTTTATCAACAATGTCAACGATTTTAGATCGCCGAGTAGGGATATACTCAAGTGGTTAATGCGTGAGCCCGCATTGTATATAAGTCACCACTGACAACGACGCAACGGTTTGCTGCGAGCTGCATAACTGCATAGACACCAGTGTCAGGATTCTTGCAAGGTAACATTGTGTTGGTCAGGATTATTCGCATGATGTGTTCCCTAGCAGTGGAAAGCGGAACATAATTTGCAGGCAGAGGCACGCCCAGGTAACACGAAGGCGGCTGCCACCGCTGCCCGTAATGGCTGCGGGGCTGCTCGGCGTGGCCGTAATACTGACACCCCTCCGCTAGTTGCTTCGATCGCTGGGGGTGACCCTGACCCGATCAGAGCACCGCCGCTGGGCCGAACAGACGCGGTCAGCGACCTTGGCCTCCAGCGCCCGCACCCATCGATCAGCTGATTACCTGCGCCGGGCCCCGCGGCCCCGGCGGCGGCCCGCCCCGTCTGCGAACGGGGGCAGCCCGGGCCGCCACCGGGTTCCGCGGCCCCGGCGGCGGCCCGCCCCGGCTGCGAACGGGGGCAGCCCGGGCCGCCACCGGGTTCCGCGGCCCCGGCGGCGGCCCGCCCCGCCTGCGAACGGGGGCAGCCCGGGCCGCCACCGGGCTCCGCGGTCCCGGCGGCGGCCCGCCCCGCCTGCGAACGGGGGCAGCCCGGGCCGCCACGATCAGAGAGACCATTGTCTTCGCGCCGGCCCAGAAATGGCGCCGGGAGGAGGACAGAGGATAACCCGACTGCGCCGCGGGACGTGAGGGGCGTCCTGGCAAGGGTTCAGAGACACATCGGAATGACATCCGAATCAGAGACACATCAGAATGACATCCGGCAGGATGGAGACCCCGTAGGCCACAGTCACGTTGTGAATTGTGGCGTTTGGGTTGCGACGCGCTCGCAGCGCGCGGCAATCTCACCTGCAGGCAGTAGGGGAGGTCTTTGAGCAGCTCCTGAAGCCTCTGTCCCCTGGTCCGGATCCACTCATAGCCGACGTACTGAATAACACGCTCCTGCAGACGATGCGGCACGTTTTGCTCCTTCATCTGGCTTACGATGACCCCTAGTCTAGTCTCCGTCTCGACACGAGTCACCTCCAGGTTACTCAAGGTCGAAGCGAGGTCACCGAGTACGAGGCCTGCGAGGAGCACGAAGAAGCACATCAACGCGTGTCGGCGTCCCATTCAGATGATGCAATTGATCATCAGTGCTTATTCGCTAGGGTTTTCGCTGCAGCACGAGTGCATGGATTTGCCATCAGACTTCACGCGGTTACATAAACGGGAAGGCGTGATTTGGCAATCGCATTGTGCGCGACTTCATATTCGAACCACTAGCCGAAATTTGAAAAGCCCTTAAATGTCACCAACAGATTCAGATGTTACGGCAATATGGCACAAAAGAAATAATGCGATCTAATGTGGTAACAAAAATATCAAACACAGACGCAACTAAGCCTTAATATTGCGCACTACGAGGAAGCATAAACGGTCAGCAGGCAAAAACATTATAATTTTGTGTGCACAACTTACCTAGCGACAGCTTTCCGATCAGGATGATGGGGATATTTAGTACTGCTTCGTCTATGTTGCGCGCGTTGATGTCTCCGTACCCGGTACTTGTCGCCGTCGCCACCACGAAGTAGAAGGCGTTGGCGTAGATCTCGCCGTGCGTCGTGTTCAAGGAGGTTTTGAAATGCTACCCACGAGTCATCTCTGCACCGCACGCCCGGACAGGCCACCATGTACCAGAAGCAGGCGCAGATGTGGAGCAGCATGAACAGCAGACCGAGGTCTCGTATGCCGCGCAAGAGGAGGATTGGCGCAATGAGGCGGCGCTCCAAAGTGCGGAAGAAGCTGAATGCCGAGTAGACGCGGGTGAGATGCACCATTCGGACGAGAGTGACTGTATGCCGGAGAGCTTTGTGCTCCGGGCGGATGAAAATCAGCAGGCCAACGGGCAGAGCTGAGAGAGCATCCACTAGGAATCCGGTGGGACGATGCATGTAGACGCGTCTGATAATCTTGTGGTCACGTACCAGGTCGCCGTAATTATCATAGTAAGCTGTATGCAAGCGTATGCAAATGTTGGAGATGTATACGCAGGTGCACAACCCGAAAGCAATGTCCACTCGGTGATTGACACTTTGGAACGTCACATGGTAGAAGAAAAGGGCAATGGATGCTGCTCCGCTCACCGTAAGCAACAGGTTGAACGCGAACAGCAGCCTCGAATCCGGGTTGATTACAACGTTAGCTTGCAAATGTGCGCGAACCCTCTTCCCGAGGCTGTGACACCACTTGAATGCCGCAGGCGGTTGAAAAGCACTGCGCTCGCTTCTGTAGCTCATGCCCGACAGGTTTGATAAAGGCGAATATCGTGAGTCTTTGTCTCCCAATTTGGTCTCTGAGGACTTGTCGATGCCTTCGGGGTCGAACGACATGTAAGACTCGGCCTGTATGGTCTGGTTGCTGACGTACACCTCAGTGATTTCATGAGAGGCGGTGCTGCCAATGAAGGGGCTTTGTGACAAGGAGGACGCCTGCGCCTGCAACGCGGGTCACATCGTCCTCCCCGTCAGCCACTACGTTCTGCGACTCGCTCACCTGGATCGAAGGAACACGGGTGAGCGATTTTGCTGTCAGTTCTTTGCTCTGTTTCTTGGTTGTTCTTCCTTTCTCGTGTATAATACGGCTACCTGTCGCGGACGGATTACTCCCGACCGAGTCGGAGGCACGAAGCCCACTCGGCTCCGTCTCCGACTTCTTGTCTGTCGGTTGTGAACCTGATTCATCCTGCCCTGAACTAGGAGCCTCCGGATCTTGTGTTGCACGGTCCGGGTGAGAACCCCGCCCCCTGCCGAAAGGCATCGCATGAGACGAAAACAAGTCTCCAGTGAAGGTTGACACCGCGTTCATCAAATACATGGTCAAAGAGCTTCCACGTTTTTTCGGCTCAGACTTTTGCGGTAGCGTGGCGCTTTCCTGATTCAGCAGATCTTGATACTCTTTCTCCAGCAACGATCGTTCGCGACGCGCACGGCGCTCCTTGAGGCTGAAGGAACTTGACAACGCCGCGGTGAGCTGATCTCGGAAACTGCGATGGCGTCGGCTTTTGTGCTTTCGCCCGTGTCGCGTTCCCACGAAGCGATTTCCTACGTCGGGACCAAACTTTTTCGAGGTGCTCGAGAGCCGTCCTTTAGCCAGATCTTCAGCTGATCTTGACATTTGACGGCTGCCAGCATCATGGAGCCTCTCTATGGCGATGCGCTCAATCTCGCGCTTGATTTCCGGACAGTTCTCTAAAACATCCTGGAGATCATTTTTAGTCAGGACGAACAGGTCAGCGTTGGTCTGAGCACGAATGGTCACCGTGCGCGGAACCGAGAACAAGACGCTGACCTCTCCGAAAAAACCGCCAGGCCCAAGAGTCTTGGTGGCATTGCCATCGTCATCAGTGATGTCGCAGAACCCACGATGTATGAAGTACATCTCCTCACCCACGTCTCCCTCGAAAATAACTGTTTCACCCCCGAGAAAAAATACCTCTTTCAGACACATTGCAAGCATACGATGGAAACTTCGATCAATCGTTTTGAAAATTGGCACTGAGCTGATAAGATCCGCAAACAAAACAAAGGCTACATCTCCCCGGATGCTCGGTGGCAAGTTAGTGAAGTGGATGTGGGCGTGCATTCTGGTTGACCGCGAAAATTTGTACTCAATATGCCGCAGTACCTTTTGTTGCACTGCCATAGGCACATCTTCATATTTCATTCGTTGACACAGAGTCCTCATGCGCTCGTTAAATCTAGCACGAGTAGTATCTGCGTTAACGAGACTAGCTGTCATGCTAGCGATAATGTAGCCGAAGAAAACGACACCATGTATCATCAAAACAATAGATAAGATATACTCTGAGCGAGTCTGGGGTGTGAGGTCGCCAGATCCAACAGCCGCAAGCATTTCCAAGGTGAACAATACACTGAGTATGTATAAGTCCTGAGCGTTGTCGGATTGCGTGAAGTTGGACATGGTGTACCAAGAAATTGCGCGACAGTTATGATGCGCTTTCAGGAACTGAGAATGGTTCCTGACTTGAATGTTCAGCGCACGACCCGCAGGTGCTGGTGATGTGATAGCATATGGTGCCGATGTTGGGCACGCCAAATATGCCCAAAAGCAGGCTAGAATATGTACGTACATTCCAAGAAACCAAAGGTGTTTTATGACTTTGAACAGCTCTGCACGGAAGAGCACTCCCTGCTCCCAGTACGAGAACGCCCAGAGGACCTCGTACACTTGCGCAAAGCGGTTCATCCGGAAAAGCACGATCGTGTGTAGGTTTTCGTACACGCTTCCGGGATAGAACAGCATTGCGAATAAGTCGAACGGGAAGCAGGCGGCCAGATCAAGCAAGAACGCCGAGGCCAAGTAGTTCTCAGCGGTGGAGATGGGGTGAGAGACCAGCGTCGATGATGCGTCATAGTATGCGAAGTGCAGCCGCAGGTACATGATGAGGACGGCCGCCACGTCCAGCAGCAGACAGATGGCGTACACGCTGATGTTGTGCGGCAGAAACGTCACGTGCACTGGCGTCAGGACGAGCAGCAGCACTATAGCGGCTACACGGACCTGCTCCAGCCTCGCTGCGAATCTGCCGTCTGGTCGGATGGTGCGCGGCATCAGCAGGCGGCCCAGGAATGACAAGTGGCCAAGCCTGTGAAATGGCTTTTGGTACTCGGCCGTTTTCCGCTCCTCTTTCGAGAAGGTGGTGAAAGACGGTGTCTCGTCCACGGTGAGGAGCGAACCCTCCTCGCGTAGCAGACTCCTGGCCAGCCGCCACACGCGCGCGTGGTTCATCTTGACGGCGTGCTGAACGTCGGCATCCTCCTGTATTTCGCTGATCTCCTTGTTGACGGTGGGAAAGTGTTTCATGACCCTGTGAAGCTCACCATGTGGGATAATGAGTAAATCACAAGTTGTCCGCGTGATGACGTTGGCCGGCTTCGGGAGCCCGTACAACATTCCAGCCTCGCCAAAACACTCCCCGGGTCCCATCAAGCCGAGTGACGTCTGCTTCTTACCGAGGTACGCTTCACAGTAGCCACGCACGATGACATACATGTCGCGGGACATGTCCCCAGTGCGCAGGACATACTCGTTGGCCGGGAAGAGGTAACGTGGGCATCTGCGGGCTAGTGCCTGTCGAAAATCGATGTCCGTGTTTCGAAACAGAGAGATATTGCCGAGCAATTTGGCGATACCATCCAAGGCAAGGTCTTCCTGCAGTGCCTCGGGCAGATCGTGCAGCAAAAATTGCTTGCCGGGCATAACCATGCCGTGGTAGGTACGCCATTGCAGATCAATAAAGTGGAGCACGCGTTTCCTTAGATCTTTGTCCAGCCGGTTTTCGATCATGAACTGCTGCATGGCAAAGACAATGGATTGAAATTGTACCTTGGGCCTGTCTCGGTTGGTTAAAAGGGATGCATACGAGGCCAGTGAGTAAGCAAATAGCACCAGTCCAAACACCATGACTATGATGCTGATATAGTACTCAGTGGTAGTCATCGCAACAATGTCACCAAATCCAGTGGTGGACATTGTGGCTGTAGCCCAGTACAATGATAAAATGTACGGGTCATATTTCGGGCTGCTCCCAGCACGCCACCCACTCTCTATTGCTTTTACCTTTTCGAACTGATGAAGCCACATTTCAGAGTTTGGTATCGCAAAAAAGACATACTTGATATTTGAGTCCATGAACCACATGCAAGCTGAAAAATGGACTCCCATTATAAGGTAGGTGATGAGCTCAATTGGCCGAATGACGGTCAGTGACTCTTGAAGCTGGTCTTGCAAGAACCTAAAACGCCGCGGGATTATCCACGCCTTAGCCAACTTGTTCAGCTTGCAGACGGCTATAAGCCGACCCATTCTCACAGACGACAAAAACATCCCGAATGGTATGCTGATCAAGTCCAGTGGCAGGGCGGCAAGAAGATCCAAGTAAAACGTTGCTCTTCTCGCGTGATAGTGGAATATTTCCCCAAATGTTTGGTAAGAATCTTGAGGGCTAATGACGATGGTCATCATGCTGAACAAAATATCTAGCACGTGGACAGAGTCCATCAGGTAGGTCAGTCCAAGCATTTCCGGGGAATACCCGTCCTTAAAGCACGCGTAGTACAGGTAGATGTGCCACTGCACGAATACCACGAGGCACACGAAGGTTTTCCAAATTCTGTCAAGCTGGCCGTCACCACGTATGCTCGGACTGCGAAAGACTTTCCACAACCAACCAAGCGGCCGGCCGTGAGGAAGGTTGTCTTGCTGGAGCCAGGCCACGCCGTTGCCGAGCTCCAGCTGAGAGGCACCGGAGGGCAGAGCGCGGATGGTGGGACGTCGTACCTGTTCATATATGCTCTCTCCTTCCGCCCAGCTGAAGCGCCGCCACCTGAAGTGACTGTCGTCGCTTCCGGCAAACACGTCATCCGGCTGTTCGAAAGCTGGCATTGCGGCGATCTGTTGGGCGCTTTCTTGCGGCGTGAGGTGTGTGCTTGACACTTTGCGGATGGACGGTAAGAATTGGGCACTTAATTTTCTTATCTGAACCATTCTGGATGATGGCTTAGCTGCACGTCCTGTAGCTTGGGGTGCGACGACGCGACTGGAAGTGACAGAGACGACCCAGCGCCCTCCCCAACTGTTGGTTTGCTCGACGTGTTTTCGTGGGAAGCGTTAGGAAGTGTTTCCACCCGCTCCAGCTGAATTTGAAATTAAAGGAAATCTTGAAGTATAGGTGCTAGTTTGTTCTGTCAATCCGCCTCTCTCTTGATTTTCTTCTGGTTTCGGAACCGCTAGAAACGGTGCTCCATCCTTTTGCTCCAACGAGCTCGTATCTCCCTCTTCCATCGTACTCAGGGTGGGCCTAAAACCGATGGCAAAGGACTGGCTCTTTTCAGCATTCATCCTTGACGTATCTGGACCTGTCATGCCTGTCGTGCTACTCCAGGCATTAGGTTCATCAGTGCCAGTCTCGAACAGCCCTTTCACGTGCATGCACATGGCCGTTCGTACTTCGGGATAATGCTGCAGTAGTGGGGTCACGTCGTGCTGGTTGAGCACCAGCAGGTCACAGTGTGTGGCTGCGCGGATCGTCGCCGTCCGAGCGAAGCTCAGCACCAGGTTCACCTCCCCGAAGAGCTTGCCTGCTCGGAGCACGGCCACGGCCGTGGCGTTGTCTCGTCCGCCAAGAACCTCCAGTTCTCCCTGCACGATGTAGAACATGGAGCGGCAGACTGTGCCCCTCTTGATGACGATTTGTCCGGGCAGGAAGAACTGACGCTGGATTCTCAGGGCGATGGCTCGCAGGAAGCCCTCGTCCAGATTTTGAAACATCGGTGACGTGCTCAGGGCACACCGATTCACACTCAGACAGATCTCGGACTGCAGCGACAGTGGCAGGGCCCCGTAAATGTTGGCATCTGTTCGACCTTTTCTCTTGAACCATGTATATTCGTAGAAACCCTGAATAAACTCTGATAACTCGGTAGAGTGATTGTTGTCCCGAAGATAGCGTTTGATCATCTGAAGCCGGTGCGCGAAGGAGGCTCGCTGGCTCTCTACATTTGTGAGCAACGAAGCCAGGCTTCCTACCACTAGGCCATTGGTGATGGCCGACCCTAAAAGCATCACCATGATGCTGAATAAGGTCTCCGCGTACCGCAAAGCGTGGTAATCGCCATAACCAACACCGAGTACTGACGATGCTGACCAATACACACATATCGTGTAGAGACTAAGAAAGAAGTCGAGGTCCACAGAGCCACTCACCTGGAAAAGATCCAACGTCCAGCTGTGCATATCAGAACTTGCTAGTGGGGTGTATCCGAATTTAGACTCCGAAAGACTTTTGGAAACATTCCTATTGATAAAACCTTTTGCGACTGTGGCCCAGCACAGAGGAGTCGATTCGTAGTTTGTCAACAGCGGTTTACAGTTCAAGGAATACCAATAACACGCCGAAACGTGAATCAGCAATGTCAAAGCACACCCTGCCGACAAGACGTCAGAAAAACGTATGCCGAGAATGACGTCTTTCTTTTTGTCGGCAAAGTACCTCGCGAGATGGCGCACTCTCAGCACCCTGTTAAACCGGCACGCGGCGACCGTGCCGTCAAGGAGGCTGGGGGATGTGTGCTTGGAATATGGAGGCAGAATGAACTCCAGGGGAAGAATCGTAAAGATGTCATAGAGAATGAAATGGCGGGCCTCTTGACGGAGCTGTAGCTGAAGCGGAGTAGACCACGCCGATGCTGGGCTGAGCGCTACAAATCCGGTGAACAGCACGACGCCAACGTAGACTGCGTCACACATGTAGAATACCACTATTACGGGTAAACTATTTCTATGGAAGGAGTATAAGAATGTTGCTGATGCGATGCTCAGGTACGCAGCCAGAGCTGTTATCATCTTCGCCTTTCTGGCGTACCATGAACCGACGCCCATGCCTTTTTTGAGTCTCTTGAAGATGGTGTGGCACATGTCGAATGCGAAGTCAGCGGCCGAGTCAACAGTTCCAATTTCAGAAACGCTTATCTCGTCCTCACTGCCCTGCCGGTTGGTGTAGTCTGAGGGCGAATTGTCGCCCATACCGACAGAAACCGAAGAGACGGCGTCTTGGTCCGCTTTGGAAGCACCCAGTTGTTCTGTGCTTGGACGCATTTTGCCAAAGCCAATCTGGAAGAGGAAAAAACGCTTGCATTTATCCACAATGCCATTAACATTAAGCCATTCATCCACAATGCATTGAAACACTTTTTGTGTTAATGCTAACTTCCACATACCGAGCCGCTGAGCTGTGATTTGTGACTTTGGTCGTGTTAACGTAAAATTAATCATTTGTCGTGTACCTTCCAACGTCTCAAAGCGTTCTGCATGGCTTAAAGCGCGCTTAGGTGGGGAATCAATTTGACCTGAGGTTTTTCCAAAATAACTTCCGAACGATGGGGGGCGGCAACGGCAGACCTACAAAACTGTAGACATTTGAATCGCAAGTCCTTCGGTGAAACCAAATTGTCCATGTCTCTCAAGGTCGCTGACCTGCAACAGGTCAAAGTCAGGTCATGGTTGTCAGCCAAGGCACTTCTTACAGAATTTTCAAGTTCATGCAATGACAGAGACGATGTTGGACGATGTCATATATAACTTTGAAATGGTTTCTCAGACAATTAGACAATTCAAATCAGATAACGATCTGAACAAAGGTCAAAATCAAACAGCCCTTGCTCCGAAAAACTTTGTTTTAAGGTAATTTTTGACGCTCATTTGAATTTCTTGAGCATAGAGGCGTCAACGGACTTCCTATGCCGACTTCATGTATAGGGATCCTCCCTGGGCAACAGGGGTCGGCATGAGTAGCTAAAAGGGCGCATGGGCAAAGTTAGGCACACAGGGGCCCCCAGTGGCATAGGCAGAGTTTTGGTAAGGGGATGCACGGGGTTAACAAAGGACCCGCCTTATGGCGAGAGGCCCGCTAGACAAAAGTTACTGGATATGAGCTACTTGGACTCAAGGGGCACGATTTTCTCTGTTACATTTTTTTGTTGCTTTTTAACGTAAGCAAGCCAGTAGTCACCGGAACATGCAATCCCCTTTTGTTATTCGAAGTCAGTAAACTGGAGCAACCGCATTCAGGGGCTTCGGCGAAATTTTTGCCTTAGTTTTATACAGAGACATTGAGAACCCGTGATCGCACCCTCGCAGATCAAAATTTGGCCAAAATAGTGTATCAGCATGACCAAGTCAGGTTCCTTTCGAACATGTTTAGCCTGTTTTTAGTATTATGACTGAAAAAGTTATATAAGATAGCTACGAACATACGCGCTCGCAAGCCGAGAAATAAAAACCCGACACACACCCCACGTTGCAGCCTCCGTAAGCTGTGCAGTATAGGCCGATGGCTAATAATAGGCGGTGGCCATCGCGTTGACGAACACGACGGTATATCTGAAATAGGTGCCTTCGAAGGTCTTACGACACCAGTTAGAAGGTCAAGACGTTTAGAGCGAGCGTTTATTTGGCGTGCGTAAACCTTAGGTTGATGGTAGGACAGGCTAGCGTTTAACGCGCCGCAAACTGGTGCTGAAACTGGGAAAAGTAACTGGAAAAGTAAAGGTACTTTTTACTTTTGGCCTCGCATGCACGGAGAAAGACATGGTCAGTGGTCGAGTAACCACCACAAATTGCACGTAACAAACCCATGCACTACTTCACTTCATGCGTGCGCAGTACTAGTGTTGGATAAAGGCCTCGTGCAAGGTTTAAAGAGAATGTTTCACATTTGAAGATACTGAAGTAAGTGCCAGATATGATGAAACAAGCTCACATGTAAGTATTGGTATGCTTTTTAGGCGAAAAAGACTGCTCTAGGCAGCATAATTCTCTGTTTAGTAAATATGTTTCTCAGAGGGTCATGGTTTGATTACGTCATCGTACCTTGCACAACATATATTGAGGGCCAATTGACGGCCGTTATGTCTGGTAATCGGACACAAGGACGCTGAATATGAGCCCCTCGACAACGAAATTTTTCTCGACCTTGGCCGCCACATGGTTTGGGAAATGGCAGGATTTGAATGACGTTATTGTGACGTCGTGAATGACAAGGTGACTTTGAAATATTCTTCCCGATATACCTGCCCGCCATTTTCGCGGGCGTGTAGCTCAGAAACTAAAGGAGCTTAGGTCTTCAGAAGGGCAGGATCGTGAGCAGCACTGAAAGGTGTTCAAGATGTCTGTATAAGTTCAAAACCGCATATAAATGTGGAACACTCTTTTTAGTGCTTCCATGCAAAATCACGTCATAATTCACACCTGGATAATATTTTTCTCCACGTAGGGCTACCAACCAAAAGTCCAATTCTGGATTGCCTCCTAAATGACCTGAAGTACGTTGGTGGACGGTTCAACGTCCTCTCAACGAGTCGTACTTAGCGAGGTTGGTTGGTCCTTACAGATTTCAGGCGCTGCGGCTATTTCGTCATGTGACTCTCTGCATAGAGTTAAACAATTCTGGTTCTAGAGACGCTCAGGGACCAAAATCACGACTTTTAAAGTAGCATTTGGTTAGCTGGCACATCATAACCAGCCATGCATTATTGAGTGGCAACCATTTGCCCCGACTATGGATGGGTAATGCCCTAGCAGCAAAGTGAAAAGTCTTTAAGGCAGATTTTCTCAACCCTTGATACATGTGCCAGTTACCAACGATGCTATCCCGGAATCACATCAGCAAAGGATCATAGGCATGTCGCCTATTAAGACTTTGTTAAAATATGATGCAGCATAGTATAAAACTGAGTGAAAATCACTCCATAATGCAATCTGAACCCTCGCTTTCGTGGAAGGGTTAGCAATTGCTAAGGATTTCTGATGGATTTCTTCCCCTAAGGATTTCTAAGGGTACATCTTCGGCATGTCGTGCAATCGCGCCAAAATTTCGATATCCCCTGGGACATGCATGGCAGGTGCTTTGACACCAAAAAAGTGCATGTACCTAGGACTTTCGGTTTCTGAGAAGCAATGCTTTTTGCGGTTTTCTGAGGGGCACTGGACGTTGATCCACGACCGGCGCGGACGACGGACGGCAACCGACAGACCCGCGGGCCGTGCACGGTGTGCCGACACAGCTACATTAACGGAGCCCTACATTCTAGATAAACGCTAAAAACACGTAAAAGTAACCCCATTCTACTAGGGATCAACTAACGAACACGCCTATTTGTGTTTCGTTTCCTTGCGGGACATGGTCTCGTACGTACGCACATGTATAACTAAAAAAGCTGAAAAGTCCAGTTTCAGAAAAAAGTGGCCTTTGACCTTCGAACGGGCTCTGATCCAAACAACCAATCATGTTAGACATCTGACTCTCTAATAATTTTTCTTGCTTCATCCTCGACCCTCGTGACGTCCCGCTGGTCCAGGGCAGGCTGCATGTGCCAGTCACGAGTGGGCCGGAATGCCCCCTGGAGGGGAACCCGACCGGGCGTCCCGTGCATACCCCACAGACGGGTCCCTGAGCGGGCTAAGGCTTAACGATTGGCCTCCCCCCAGGCGCATGTAGTCCTGCCCCACCGTTGTCTATTCTCCTTTATCCTATAGCCCTGTAATGATCATCACTGGTCGAAAGGGCTCTAATCCAACTAACCGAGCAGGTTAGAATGGTGCACAACCTGCACAACACTGCTTGAGAGGCAATTGATGGTTGTCATTTCTAGAAATTGTGCTCAGGAACGCAGGATATGCACGACTGGACAATTATAATTTCAATGACCTTGATCGACATATGATTAAGAGAATAGCAGTATTTGAATGACATTATCACGTCATGAATGCCT